CCGGATATGGGGGAGGATGTGCTGGATTTTGAGGGTTGACCGGATATGGGGGAGGATGTCTTGGATTTTGAGGGTTGACCGGATATGGGGGAGGATATGCCGGGTTTTGGGGGTTGACCGGATATGGTGGAGGATGTGCTGGGTTTTGGGGGTTGACTGGATATGGGGGAGGATGTGCTGGGTTTTGGGGATTGACTGGATATGGGGGAGGATGTGCTGGGTTTTGGGGGTTAACCGGATGTGGGTAGGCAGGGTTGTATGGAGGAGGATTCCCTGGATTAACAGGATTATTTGGGGGATGGGCAGGGTTGTATGGAGGGGGATTCCCTGGATTAACAGGATTATTTGGGGGACGGGCAGGGTTGTACGGAGGGGGATTCCCTGGGTTAACAGGGTAATTTGGGGGGTGGGCAGGATTTTGAGGGTTGACAGGATAAGGTGGAAGGCGTCCTGGATTTTGTGGGTTGGCGGGATTATGGGCTGGATGTGCAGGATTATATGGAGGAGGGTTTGCGTGGCTCGGAGGACGCCTTGCAGGACTATCAGGCTTCTTCTCAGAGTGGACAGGTGGGTTGTGTGCCGGTCTTTTGGGTTTCTCTGCAGGCCTGACAGGTCTGCTAGGTCGACTTGACTTCCGGCTGCTTAGCCTACTGCTGCTTAGTCTACTGCTTCCTTTTTTAGAAATGGAGACAATCTCCTCCGTCTGAAGCAAAATGAAGAGAATCACGATTGAGCAGGTCAACAGGAACTTTCCCATGGTGACGACTCTGCAAGATAAAAATGGGGAAGACATCCAGTTTGAGAGAAATGCAAGTATGACACAAGTGATACAAATTTGTCAAGGAGAGCGGTGTTCCCCTTCCAAAATTATTCAAGGCAGAGAGCTTCTAGAGATTGTGGGGCCTCTCCACAATCAAGGCATAGAGTGAAAAGAGATTGTGAAGCTTCTTGTCCTCCTTAACCAATTTGCTTTGGCAAGGAAATGACCAGAAACCCAGGAGAATCACATATATTTCTGGAATCATATGAAATTTGTGGAAAAGATTAGGTAGTTACACAACTGGGGGAAAAAACAACGCAAGCTCATGTAAGCCTAACTCTTGAGTTCCAAGGTACTACTGTATAGAATAGCATGCAAAACACTGTAGGAGAGAAGGGGTGAATTTGAGGCACAGAAGACTTTTATGATACAATCCTTACATCTACTTCAGTGTAACACATGCTTTTGCCCACAGCCCAGGAATCAATGGAAGTTTAAGGGTTCAAACAGCAAGATTAAACAAGCCCAGTTGGGTGACCTTGGGCCAGTCACTCGGCTTAGAAGAAAGAAGGCAAGGACAAACCACTTCTGAAAATCTTGCAAGGAAAATAGAGGGACTTACTCCAGGCTGTCAAAAGGTGTCAGCACTGACTAGAAGGCACCAAAAACAAATACAATACAGAACAAAACCTTGCAGACGCCAGATCTATTTCTGGCTCTTGATACTTCTTCTACTCCGTGCAAAAACTATGCCTTGCTCAGGCAACGACAGATTGTATATACATGCCTTTCTGGATTCAAGATTTTCTTTAGAGAGTTTACCTATATTTATTGAATTAGATTTAATCTTGATTTTCAATAAGAAAAGCTTCCAGAATGGCTTGCATTCAAAATAATGATAGATTTAGAATGGAGAAGACATTTGAAAATTTGAGAAACTTTAGGGAAGAAGAGAAGGGGGGGGAGCAATTCCTGGAGCTGGCTTTTCAGCAGATTTTGAAAAAAAAATAGGCCTGCTTCATATCCTGTTTTTTTCTACAATGGACTAATGATTTTTAAAAAATGCAAAAGGAAGCCTTTTTATATTTATGTGCTTGGAAAGCAGTAAGAGAAGTCGGAAATAGGAATTGTCCTTTTCACAAAGACTTCCCATTATCTTCCCTAACTACTTAAGATTCTGGGATCATTTCCAAATGCCCAAACTTCACTCCACGATATCTAGAGAGAACTGATTTGGAGTCTTTATTGCCCAAAAGGGTCCAATTTGCATCCTGCCTCTATCTTTGTTTGTTAGACCCAAATGAAAGCCTTCTTTCTTGGTCTCTTTACTTGGGTTGTCACTTGCACATCTCAAGAGGAAGAGCCACAGAGCAGAAATAAGATAAATTGATGCAAAACAAATCCGCAAATTGAATACACAACATTTGACCATAATGGAGAAGATTGTACCTGATGGTGGGCCAACATGGTCTTTATTTCCCATCAGAGTGATTTTTCTCTCTCACTCACAGAAGACACAACAAATGTGTCAACCTACTTTCCCCCCCCAAAAAAAAACCCTTTGTATTTTCCTCACCTACCTATCACCCATTTTATAACAGCTGATATTTGGGGCAATAATCATTTCCATGCATTGCCAATCTGCATGCCTTGAGGGACAATAATGAAACTCACCGGAAAAGATAATGACATTGAACTAGATTACATTCAGAATTTGTGAAGCAACAACAAATGTACTCAGTGATCCTGCTAAATCTGAACTCCAGTAAACTTGGAGCTTTGGCTCCTGTACAACATTTATATTCAGCCACAACTGCGTGTTCTCTGTTAACCTGACTCCTGTATGTTGCTCTGAGCTCTGGAAGGAATCATGAAACAGGCTGCTTTGTGTCAACTTAAGCAGAAGACCCCATCTGTATTCTAATACAACACCCGTAATGCATAGCACACATGTGCGTGGATGTTCATTAAACAGTCTTTGTTTACTTAATACAGCTACTTATACTGCTTTCTTTTTACTGTGCGTGTTTTAATTCTGAATTCACTGTTTTAAAGACTTGCTTCTTGTGTATATTTTTATGTAAGTAAGTTTATATTATTCCATTGTAAGCTTTTCTTTGAACTCCTGGAAGACATAACAGTATAGGAGGAAAGGAAAGGAAAAAAGGAAAGGAAAGGAAAGGAAAGGAAAGGAAAGGAAAGGAAAGGAAAGGAAGAAGGGAGAGGGGAAAGGGGAAAGGGGAAAGGAAGGAGGAAAGTATTCAAACAGCTAAATGAACTTAAATATTCCAGAAAAGAACATCTCATTCACAGATCAAAATGATCAATCAAGAGCAACAGCTTAGGAAAAAAATATTGTTTTGCTTAACCTTTATATGTGTTATGTAAACAGTTTTAGGATATTTTGTTGTTTCTTTGTTTTCTTTTAAGCCTCTCAACTCAGCGTTTCATTCCCATAACTGCTTCACTAGAAAAATAAACTGATGGAAGAAGGGATGTTACGCTTTATATCGCACAACTTGATCAATAAATGAATTTTCTTTCTTCTTTTAAAGTACAAAGTCATGTTCTTTCGCTGTGACACATTTATTTTGCAACTTTTGGGCAGGATGTCTTTACCAATAAAACATGTACGCAAATGTATCGTAAGCATTAAAAAAAACTAAGAACATCCTAATGATATGGTACAACGTGCAAAGTGAAGGAAAATTAATCCAGAAAGTCAGATCTGCTCAAAAAAAAAAGCCCTTTAGCTCCTTAGCTATAAATTTTTTATTAATGTAACTGTAACATGAAGTTCTGGCCATCATATTCGGAAACTTTTACCGTTTCTTCTGTTTTCCTTAATCTAATCCCTGAAATAGTATCTTTGAATATTAAACTTGAGTAACTGAATTGGAAAATGAAAAGTGTTATCCTAAGTGAATATTTTATAAATATTTTATATATTCAGAAAGGAAATTTTAGGAAAACTTTCAAACGATCTGACACTATAAATTTCTAGGATCTATAAAAGGTTGCCTAGGGATTCTATGAAGAAAGAGAGGGGGAGACTATTAGAATATTTATTTATTTTAAAATATGTTTCCTACTCCTCTAATGACAATTAAAGCCAATAATTTTTTTCGTAACCTGCACAGAGCTTACACTGATATACAAAGCCTTAAGGACAAATGCATATAAAGTCAAAATTGATAAGACAGCAATAGACAGTAAGTGCCGCCTATGCAAAGAAGCTAAAGAAACAGGGGACCACCTGGTAAGCTGCTGCAAGAAGATCGCACAGACTGACTACAAGCAGCGGCATGACAAAGTAGCAACAATGGTGCATTGGAAGATCTGCAAGAAATGTCATTTGCCTGTAAGCAAGAACTGGTGGGATCATAAAATAGAGAAAATCATAGAANATTTGGGGGATGGGCAGGGTTGTACGGAGGGGGATTCCCTGGATTAACAGGATTATTTGGGGGACGGGCAGGGTTGTATGGAGGGGGATTCCCTGGGTTAACAGGGTAATTTGGGGGGTGGGCAGGATTTTGAGGGTTGACAGGATAAGGTGGAAGGCGTCCTGGATTTTGTGGGTTGGCGGGATTATGGGCTGGATGTGCAGGATTATATGGAGGAGGGTTTGCGTGGCTCGGAGGACGCCTTGCAGGACTATCAGGCTTCTTCTCAGAGTGGACGGGTGGGTTGTGTGCAGGTCTTTTGGGTTTCTCTGCAGGCCTGACAGGTCTGCTAGGTCGACTTGACTTCCGGCTGCTTAGTCTACTGCTGCTTAGTCTACTGCTTCCTTTTTTAGAAATGGAGACAATCTCCTCCGTCTGAAGCAAAATGAAGAGAATCACGATTGAGCAGGTCAACAGGAACTTTCCCATGGTGACGACTCTGCAAGATAAAAATGGGGAAGACATCCAGTTTGAGAGAAATGCAAGTATGACACAAGTGATACAAATTTGTCAAGGAGAGCGGTGTTCCCCTTCCAAAATTATTCAAGGCAGAGAGCTTCTAGAGATTGTGGAGCCTCTCCACAATCAAGGCAGAGAGGGAAAAGAGATTGTGAAGCTTCTTGTCCTCCTTAACCAATTTGCTTTGGCAAGGAAATGACCAGAAACCCAGGAGAATCACATATATTTCTGGAATCATATGAAATTTGTGGAAAAGATTAGGTAGTTACACAACTGGGGAAAAAACAACGCAAGCTCATGTAAGCCTAACTCTTGAGTCCAAGGTACTACTGTATAGAATAGCATGCAAAACACTGTAGGAGAGAAGGGGTGAATTTGAGGCACAGAAGACTTTTATGATACAATCCTTACATCTACTTCAGTGTAACACATGCTTTTGCCCACAGCCCAGGAATCAATGGAAGTTTAAGGGTTCAAACAGCAAGATTAAACAAGCCCAGCTGGGTGACCTTGAGCCAGTCACTCAGCTTAGAAGAAGAAGAAAGGCAAGGACAAACCACTTCTGAAAATCTTGCAAGGAAAATAGAGGGACTTACTCCAGGCTGTCAAAAGGTGTCAGCACTGACTAGAAGGCACCAAAAACAAATACAATACAGAACAAAACCTTGCAGACGCCAGATCTATTTCTGGCTCTTGATACTTCTTCTACTCCGTGCAAAAACTATGCCTTGCTCAGGCAACGACAAATTGTATATATATATATATGCCTTTCTGGATTCAAGATTTTCTTTAGAGAGTTTACCTATATTTATTGAATTAGATTTAATCTTGATTTTCAATAAGAAAAGATTCCAGAATGGCTTGCATTCAAAATAATGATAGATTTAGAATGGAGAAGACATTTGAAAATTTGAGAAACTTTAGGGAAGAAGAGAAGTGGTGGGGGGAAGCAATTCCTGGAGCTGGCTTTTCAGCAGATTTGGTAAAAAAAAATAGGCCTGCTTCATATCCTGTTTTTTTCTACAATGGACTAATGATTTTAAAAAAATGCAAAAGGAAGCCTTTTTATATTTATGTGCTTGGAAAGCAGTA